ATGCAGCACGTGGGAAGGACAGCTCCACACTCTCCACGAATTGCAAAACTGAGACAAAAATGGAAATAGCCAAAGCTTTTCATGTTCGTTTAGTTTCAGGTTATGAGAGACGACAGCACGTTGGGGAACAAGAGCTCAAGTGTTCAGGATGCTGTTGCCAGGTACGGAGTAGAACCAGGTAACGAGAGGCAGGTCTCTGAGCACGGGACTGGGAACTCGAAGCTCTGCAGTTTTGATCCCAGTATTGACTCTGACTGTGGTTGAGAGCCAGTCAGCTAACTTCTCTGGTGTAACAAGGACAGTTCATTTCCTTTTCTGCTAAATGAGGAGCTTGTTAGGTTTTACAGGTGTGTGTAGAGCATTACAAAGATGAAAATCACTAGATACTGTGATTGCTGTGCTTTGTTGTTTATGAGCTACTTCAGATGCATAGATCTGAGCCTTGTCCTTTTTCTTAACCTGTGAATGGCGTTACCCCATTAGGTACCAGTAATTTAGCATGCTGAAAGTTGATAGATCGGCAGCATGAGACGCTGCAGCCCTCTCCTCACTCACCAAGCAAGCATGGTGGGCTGTGACCATGCAGAGGCCTCCGTGCCATCCCTATTACGATAGACCCATTTCTAGGAGACGGAGAGAGATTGAGGGTATGGGCAAATATTGCTTTTGACCGGTTTAAAAGGAGGGAGGGAGCTGTTATGCACGCACGCACATCGGCTGTTGTAACATAACTGTTACCGTTGTACTGCAGGTGAGAGAAATCACTCCAGCATTGACTCCAGATAAAATAGGGTTGAAGTTGGAGTCGTCTTGCTGCAGAACTGTGCAGATGTCACAGTTGCATTTTAACAGCTTAGACTGGTGTGATTAGACATCAATACGTTGATCTGTACCAGTGATTTTCAGCTAGGGGCTGCAGCACCCTGGGGTGCCTTGACATCCCTTCAAGGGTGCCATGGGGGTGCCATGCTAGACTAGCACTGTTAGGGTGTGCACATGTGATTCAAAAATAAATCTAGGGATTTCAAACTGGAACCTGCGGTATCAAAAACATTCTGCTCTGTTGTCTTTCTGAACTCTTCACAAGGGAAGAATTGCTGTTATTTTAAAAAAACCAAACAAACAATGAAAGCCAAGGGGGGGGGGGGGGGGGGGGCACGGCACTTTCTGAAGGGTGCTTGGACTCTAGTGAGGGATGCCTCGAGTCTAGAGAGGCTGAGAATCGCTGGTTTGTACCCTCAATCTGTCTCCTAGTTTTTGGCTGAAATGCTGAGCTGAAGGATCGTTTACAAAGGAGCTTATGATGGAAACGTGTGTGCAGAGAACTGGCACTAACACCTGACTTTCTGTGTGCTACCAGACTCAGCTGGTAATAAATATTGATCACCGCCTATTTTGGCTGTATTTGAACTAGGTACATACAGGCAAAAGGGTTAAAGCGGTAATTTTGTGACAAATTATTGGAAGTAATTGTGCCAGCTGCATACAGCTTGCATAGCTATTCCCAAAATGATTTTCTTCCCAGGAAACAGACTGCCTAGTGACAGTTAAAATCCCTCGATGGGAGTGACGGACAAAGACTGTAGTGAGAGTTTGTACCTGTTCCTTTGTAGAGGAGCAGGGAGAGCACAGAGCAGCTTGCCAGCCACCAGCCCACTATTTCGGATGTCAGAAGAAGTGCTGAAACCAATCTCTGCCTCCGAGGAAAATGTTCCAGAGACTGTTCCTGGGACATGGCAATAGCTCAGAGATTAGCCTTAGAGGTTAAACAGCCTCGGGGAGATGGGAAGCAGCTGTGGGCTAGCAGGAAGAGCAGTCAGATGATGCTTCCTAGCCAGGGAGAACATCCAGGCTTATTTCCTCCGCTGATCAACTTTAATATGCTCGCTAGGAGCAGGCCAGCTGCCTGCCAGCAACTGGCAGCAGACTTGGATGGGTAGGGACATGCAAATGCTATTTTCTTGACAATGTTTTCTGGCCTGCACAATTATCCATTAAAACAAAGCATTTAAAATCAAACCACTTGACCAACAAAGCATAGGAGTAAAAATGCCAGTTGAGGCTTTCTGGACTGTGATGAGAACTGCAAACGTCCATGAATCGAGACACAGCAGCACTTCCTGAACCTGAGCAGGATAGGAATTAGTCCTAGTCTTGTGCAGCAGCCTTACAGTCATGCTGCATGGCCTTGAGATCATTAACCTTTCTGCCTCAGTGTTGCCATCTGTAAGGTGATAATTAATACTGACCTCCCATTGCAAAGCACTGGAAAGACTTTGGGTGAAAAGTACCAAGTCAGATTATGAATAGGTTTGTTTAGGGGTTGTTCTTGGCACTCCAGCATCACAGCCAATCTTGTATGTATATATTGTAATCTCCCGTGCCTCTCCCCTTGATGTCACGGGTGAGGATGCCTCTTGAGCCTTGCCATGGCTTCTTGGGGCGGATGTTATGATCGCCAAGCAACTCTGGGGCAGTTCCCAGGGGGCCTTGCCTGCTACGTCTTTGACGGTTAGTTTGGATGAATCGGGAGGAGGATGTTTGGTCCTACTCCCCTGGTGCCTTCCCTTGGTCACTTCATCCACTCCCTTTTATGTGGGGCTCCACCTCCCCTACACCCTGCCTTCTGCCAACTGTGATGTTACCCTTTGTGTCATGGAGGGTGATGTCCAGGAGTTTCTTTAACACTTGAGTTTGCAGGGTCAGATGGCCGCAGTCAATTGGTGCTGTTCCTTCCCCGCGCATCCCCTGCGGCCTCTTCCTTCTGTTTAAGTGTTGTACATCTTTGGCACTGTCTTATTCTCTGGTGCACCGTCCCTTCCTTGGGCTGGATCCTTGCTGTTGGTCGGCTGTGCCCACCTCAAAGTGTCGCTGTGTCTCTGTGGACTCCAATCCTTATCAGCACCAGTCGATGCCCACTCTGGCTCCATGGGCAGCTCCCCTGGATAACGCTGGTTGTGGACCTTTGAAGCAGCCCCCTCCTGGGGTGCCCACCAGGTCCCTTCTCTGTGACCGCTGGTGTGGTCCAATCCCTCTGGACCAGCTTCGCTTCTAGTCCACCCCGCTGTTCTTCCAGGTCTTTTATAGTGGCCCCAGGTGTCTGGCCCGCATAAAGTGAGCCCAGGCTGATGCGGGAGCCATCCCCAGCTTCTTCCGGTTTGTCTGTTTTTTCTCCTCTTTCTTCACCTGCAGCAGCTCCGCCTGCCGCAGTTTCATTTTCGCCATATCTGGCTCCCCGCGCAGTGTCCCGCCGGCTCCAGCGGGTAAGTCCATTTCACAGTGCGCATCATCACAGCCCTCCCTCCTCTTAGCCTGAGAAGCTTCACTCCCATCTTGTAGATGAGGTGCTTAGACCCAGAATGAGGGTTTCACATTCCCCTGTAAATGTGACACCAAAACCCAGATTCCCAGTCTAGGGCTTAAACTGTGGCCTTGACTCTTCAAAATTAAGTTAGTCCTCGAATGCCTCAAGAGGATCATCTGCACTACATGGGGCTGGTTTAACTCTCCGGCCCCAGTGAAATGCAGGAAGTGAGCGGTATGAATTACAAAAAGCTGCTTTTCTTACAGAAGTGCTGGTGTTTTTCCTCCTGATTTAGATGGGTCTGCAGCCAGCTCTCATGAGGTCAATAGTACATCTGTCGTGATGTCTTTTTTCTAAATGACTATTGGGAGGCAGAGGTACATTCATACACGAGCAGTCGTTCTAGTTGCATCCCCACGTCTCCAGGGGATGCAGAGCGTTAATGAGGATTCTCAGTAATTGGGAACACTGTTTCATGAGCTCTTGACCTTCATGCTCAAGTTCCCTTGTGTACAGACCAAATACTTTAATTACATGTGTGTTTGTGGTGGGAGTTATATATCTACATAGTTCCTCGTTGACTTAGTCTCTTGATCCTAACTAGAAAATAAGGGGTTTTGGATGACTGATTTGCCATAACGCCATTATTTCTCAAGGATTTTTCCAGCCTCCTATTAAAGAATAACAGGTTTTCGTTCTCACATGGAGAGGCAGTAGGCTGAAGCGTGGAATCAGCAGAGCCATGCTTCAAAAAAGCTCGAACACAATTCAAAAAAAAAAAAAAAAAAAGCTTGAAATCAGGACATTTCAATAAGGAACAAAGCTTATCTATCTTCTTCCTTGTGATCTAAATCAGTTTTTCTGCATCCCCCCCTGTTAGATCACATGAATCGCCAGGCATTTGTCATCCCTCTAGCCCGTCTCCAGCAGTGACCAGCGCCATATGCTTGGGAGGATGATCTAAGATCTGAGGTAATCGGCCTCCCATGAGTATTCAGTTGTAGAAATGGGCTCAAACCCTGAAGCATGTGATTTTATCTTTACTGCAGAATTTATTAGCATTATTGTAACTCTGGATGTTCTTGTTATCCATAGAACAAGCAGCAGTGGGTTCAAGTTGCAGCAAGGGAAGTTTAGGTTGGATATTAGGAAAAACCTTCTCACTAGGAGGGTGGTGAAGCACTGAACAGGTTACCCAGAGAGGTGGTGGAGTCTCCATCCTTGGAGGTTTTAAGACCTGGTTAGACAATGTCTTGGCTGAGATGATCTAGTTGCGGACAGTCCTGCTTGGAGCAGGGGGTTGGACTAGCTGTGACCTCCTGAGATCTCTTCCACGCTCATCGTCTGTGATTCTGTATAAGAGTTGAATCCCTTGTCTTTTGCCTTGGAGCATCCTGTGAAAGTCAGCTCCACAGCCGCCGTGTATGCTGTATGGAAATGTTCATCCCTTTAGCATTTTGGAATTTGCCATCGTTCAGTTTTGCTGAATGTCTTGTACTTGTGAGACGGGGAGAATTGAAGCTCCAGATCTCCCCACGCTGCCATCCCTCTTCACTTCACTTCGCATCATCTTTTGTCTCCATTCCTTTTGGTCTCCCCTTGTAGAGTATTTCCAGGCCCCCGATGACTCAGGCTGCCCCTCTTTGAGCATTTTGAAACGGAGGGGCAGCACTTCACATGTAGTTTCAGAGGAGGCCATGCAGTTTCATATAAAATTAATATAGTGCTTGTTATACATCAATCCATTCCTCGTGCATTATAACTGCTGGCTTCCTTTCTTCCCGCTGCAGGTGCCCAGTAAATTAATCACGTGGACACCTGCTTCTGAGTTGGGACAATTAATTAGACCCTCCTACGGGTCTGAGCACATCCGTTTTATTTATTTCTCCATATAATACACGTCATTTTGCCTCTATCAACCTTGCATTTCTTTTGCCTCAACATTGCCCTAATTCCGTTAGGGTCCCTCAGCCTTCTTGAGATTTGGTTATCCATTGAATTTGTGGTATTTGTAAATTTAGTACCTGCTAATCAGTAAATTAAACAATATCAGACCAGACTGAGGGCTTGTCTGTGCGTGCGTGCATGCAAGCACGTACGTATAGGATCAGTTTAACGAAAGGTGACATGTTGAACTGCCTATGCATTGACACGTTGGTTTCAATTCAGCCCAAGTTAAACCGTTGTGAACTAGGGATTAAGCCAGGGTAAGGGTCCTGCTCACACCTGCACCTGTTAACAAAGGTTAGGCTCCTGCCTTTAGACGAGGTCTAGTGTAGACCAGGCCCCGCACAGGCATACGTTGGAGGGCTAAAGGGAAATCGCTGAATCTCTGAGGCTGCCTTGCTTTTCCTGACAGGTCTAAAACACATGCCTTCTACAGACTTGCGTCTGCCTCAGAAGGCAAAGACAAAATTCTGGTTCTTTGGTGTTCAGATTTGAGATGAGCGTTTGAATGGCTCCAGTGGGATGAAGACATCGACATTAGCTGCTTGGGATGCCTGTAGCACAGCTGTGCGGTGGAAACGCCAGTGGAGCGCACTAGCCCGCCATGGCAGGTGCTGAGATGTGCACGGTTCACTTGGCAATTGCTCCAGCATCTAACACCTTCACAAGCATTCATCTCCTCCCTGCCCCATATTGATTTGTTGGGTTTGTAGGCTAAGCCGTCATGAAAGCAGCACTGTTTATTTCACACGGTCTGGGCAGAATGGAGATGAGAGTGGTTTTTTCTTCTTTCAGCAATCTGTTAAATGAGGATAAAGCTGCCCCTGTCCCCGAGGAGCCCCTGACTTCAGCTAATCTGGCTCCAGCAGAGGAGACTACAGTTGTAAAGGTACACGCCATTCAGCTGCACGGCTCTTGCTTCACACCCTGAATTACTGGCTGCACCAGCGGAGCATGAAATGATCTGTTGGCTTGCAAATAGTAGAGCTTACAGCAGCGTGTTTGGAGCACATACCTGTACCAAACGGTGCTTTTTGGTGCAAAAAGATGCTATGTAACCAACTCTTTCTGGGCCAGGGCTGTGTACCCAGCTCTCTTTTCCCCTGTGCAGCACATTTTTCTAAACCGGCTGGCCAGCTCCCTCACCTGCTGCATCCCGGGGGTGTCTTGGTATCAACAAAGGACAGATTGTGTGTGTGAAATGTTACCACTGAATAAACTTGGGCAGTTCCCAGTGAAGTCAGTAGGGCTTAGTCCTAAAGTTCAGGTTGCTTTTCCCAAGATTTCATACCCTTCCCTCCAGTGAGCACAAGCAGCAAAGATTGATGTTCATCAACATAGGAGCACAGGGTTTTTAATGGGTCCTTTTCCAAACTACCGAATGGCAGTGACATGGGGCCTCTAGGATTTCAGCAGACAGAGCGGGTTCCAGGTCTGACTCTGGACCACTAAAATAGTGCCCCTTTGTTTAGCTGCTGCACCTTTACACCCGTTTTATGCTGCCGAGTCCATTGAATAGGATAACCCCTTCCCCTGAGTTTGGATCCTGAATCCATTGACTCCACTCCCTCCCCTTCCTGCTCCGTGCGCACGGATGCAGTGATGAGTTTCCACGTTGCGCAGCAGTGAGTTGCACGTCGTGCAGTGCCCAGGATGGTGAGGTGACAGGAGAGCAGAAAGGCTTTTTATCAGACTGAGATGAGACTATACATGTTTGCTTACAAGGTTCAAAACCCCCAGACCTGCCATCTAGGAACGTCCCTGGAATTCAAGAAGCTGCTGGAATCCTCTACAAATCCTTCTGGCAACTACTGGGAATTTAATTATTAACTGCTTTATTTTCAGAGCTCTCCGGAGGACCAGGATGCTTTGCCAACATCACTGACAGAGAATCTCATTGACTTCACAGAAGCTGTACCTCGGGTAACTATGTTTCATAACCAGGCTCCTTCCTCCCCGCAGATTTGATTGGACTGTTTCAAAAGCCAAGCATAGAGCTACTCATGTCTTTTCGCTTGGCAGCTGTCTGCCTGCTGCGTGTCTGATGGCAGCGTGGTCTGCTGCTGCTCTGAGTGCTCGTGCAGCCGCACTGCAGCTCTGAGGCAGAAGCGGAGCGCTGTGCATTGATCTCAAGGATCGGCTTAGTTTGTGCCCATGCAGCAGGTTTGCAAGCCCATGAATGCTTTCACAGGGGCTTGCACCCAAAGTATGGCTTGTGGCAGTGCATGCTGGGATTTCCATCCCTCGCAGGCTGAGGGGAAGGACCTGCAAGCCAGTTATGTAATCGTGCTACCTGCACTGCAGAAACACCTCAGTGGAGTGAATTGGCTGGTGGGAGGGCAGCTATGTGCTGATGACGTGCTGTCATTTGGTGGGTGCTGCTAACCATATAGTAACTACATGGTGCACAGACGTGGAGCCTGTTCATAGTCTCTCAGCTGCAGCTGGTTACCAGCTCGTTCAACGCCATTGTGTGAACAGGCCCTCCCCAATGGTGGCACAGCGCTGCTAGCAAGAAAGTACTTGGTGTCACGTTGTTTTGAGGCAAGAATGTTTCTAAAGCCATGTCGTGTCCTTCAGAAACCTCACCACTGCGTGTGCTCTCCTTTTGGCAGGTGTCTTCCCAGCCCACGATTACACCGAGGTGGATAGTGCCAGTGAGTTACTCGCTTATTTATGGGATATTTCCAAAGAGTTCAGATTTCACAGTAAAAAGGAGCCCGAGTGAAATCTGCAGGCCTCTTTGAATGAGTGCAAATGGGGCTGTGGGTCTGCAAGTTATGTGCGGTCGTATGCTGTTGGGATCTGGGCAGTAAACGAAGAAAATGCTCTCTTCATTTCCTTGTCCAGCCCTGAGCGAAGGGAGTCGAACATCGCAGGGGACAGTGTAACTAGCATATGCTCATGGCCTTGATCTAATGATGCACAGATCTGGGATTATTTCTGTTTAAATGGGTCGGCTTATGTTTTCACAGTGTTTATATTGCAGTTATTTTCTATCAAGTTTATGTAAGGACTTTCACTCAGCGAAGCCCCCTGCAACTCTAGGGTGACGGGTGTGCTCAGTCCCTTGTGGCCGTGCTCTCGACTCCAGTTCTCTGTTTATTTCTCCCCATTTCAGAGCGGACTGGTTCCCAATGGGCCTTTAGGGAATGATGTTGCCTTAACTCTCAAGGCAGTGAAAGGCAGCACTGAGGCATTGTCCCCATCATCTGGATCCCCTCCATCCCAGCGGTCAGCTGACGCTCTTGTGAGGTAAGGGCTCCTTGTGTGTAGTGGGGCGGGAAAGGAGGACAAGACGTGTTCTGATCACGTTTTAGCTTGTGTTGTAACGACTGTCCATCCTTCCCTGGACACAACGCGTTTCACGTCTTGTTCTAAATTTGACTCTAGAGTTGCTCTGCTGCTAAACGGTTGTTTCATCCCATAGTTGTACCACAGTTTAACAGTTCATACATCAGTGGATGAGGCAATGAGTAAAGCTGTATAAAAGCATAAAACTGGTAAAAACAACTTGTTTTTCCGAACAAAAGATTTCATCGGGCAAAGGCAGCAGAACTGAGTAATGTGAATGCAGCTGGAGGGGTCAGAGGTGAATCTGCCACCTGTGTAACCTCCGTAATGTCTGCCAGCTGGCAAAGCAATCTGATCGGCTACATGTACAATAGGAAAGGAAAGGGAAGTTGTGAATCTCTGCAGAGCACCTTGATATCCTACTGGGGCAACATAAAACCATCCAGCCAGGTGACAAGCACTGCCAGGCTCCAAGAACTTCAAGATCCACAGATATGAACTCCTGCCTAAGTAATGAGTATTGTTTGTTATGAATTAAATTACGTAAGAGGGAGCTTTGAGGTTTTAACACCCCCAGGAGGAGTCTCTTAAGTCAGCTGCTATATTGCTATTACCCGTTTGTGGACTCTGGACAGAAGGTAGGATACGGGTTGAGGGAAAGAAATAGCCACGTCCAGATGAGTTACGTGCTTATAAGAGCAAAATGGGCCCCAGACTATCTCGGTTTTACTTCATTCTTCCGATGTCTTCAGGTGACGTAACATCCATAATCATCATTGCCCACAATGTAGAACGCGGGCACCCACTAATGTACTCAGAGGCGTTGCCAAAAAATAGCTTTAAAGCTTGGCTTGCAGATCTTACGATGGCAACACTGAACTTCTTGGGCTGTTCATATAAAGAGGATGTTCACACTCCTCCTCGAAGGGAAACACCGCAGTGGGAAAGTCTCGCAATCTGCCTGCACAGCCAGAGCAGATTTCAGACTGTCAGAACTGCTGTGCGAACGAGGCCAGCAAAACACCACACCCGTAACACTGGGTGTTGGGTGATCGGGTCTAGATCCTCGACATACCTGTCTCATCTGAGATCAATCTGGGGCTGCTACCAGACTGTCAGGGTCTGGAAGCCCGGGACAAGTGCTCTTCTGCACAACCCTGGCCAGGTGGGGAGCGTAAGCGCGTGGCAGGGCATGGAAGCCACAGGGCTCTGGATTGTCATCACTGCAGCCCCAACTCGGCTTCAGCACAGTGAGTTTTTTCCTCCTTCGGTCCTTGCCTTCACTACTCGTGCTCTACCAGTCTCCTGGCTGGCAACGCTGCTGCTGATGCAGGCGGGAGAGTCCATCCCGCACCTTTCCCCGTATGCGATGCAAGGGGAATGCAGCCACCGGAAGCAGCACCAGGCTGCACCTTAAACATTTGGAAGCCATGGTAATGTTGTTCACTTCTCCTTGAAAGAGACTCTGTGCCTTGTGCCCCGTTCTCAGCAGTAAAGCCAACTTGTTAATATGTAGGCCTGCTCCAGATCATATCCTGCGGTACACGCACCTAGTGTGCAGGTGACTGCATCTTGCAAGCATCGGCCCTTGTTGGCATGTGTTGGCATCTCAGAGGTTTCATGGAGGCTGAACTGCTGGCTTGTTCACCGAGGAGTCTACTCCAGGTCTGAATAGGAGATACTAGCAAGGTCTTGTGAAGAAAGGTTGCGCTCCTGCTGCTTGTGGAGCGTGTACCAGCACATAGAGAATTGTATTCACGTTTGGTGATAAAGTAATGCTTTAAAATGCTCCCCTTCCCACGCAGACAGCATTGGAGAGGTAAACTATCCTACTCCTGGATGTTATTGAAAGCTAGGACACCCTGGTGCTAGTCCTTCATACGCTCCCACCTTCCCAGCAGTTGCAGGCCCTCTCTCATCCAACCAGGCCTCTGTTTCTCTTAGTCCTTAGGGCACTGCTAAGTCTTTGCCCCATCGGTAGCACCTTGCACATCTTGGTCAACCTGGATATTTACAGGCCTTGCTTTCTTCTTCTTTTCAGCCTCACCACAGAGGATCCTGCAGTCAGGCCAAAATGTTTACTCACCACTGAACTCTGAGCAGAAGGAGATTCACCGCTGAGAACTCGGACTTGCTGCATTCTCCGTGGAGCCCTCCGCCAGGACCGACCGGGGACGAAGCTCTAGCTGAATGGTGGCCCCACGTGACCAGCTGCTTTGCCAAGAACCTCAAGGGGAAACTTTCAGTTTATTGCAGTTCAGCTGGACTGATGGTATAAACTAGGAGGTAAAGCTCCACAAAACCATGAGCTTCTCTCTCGGGAGAAAGGAAGTAGGCACACTGGAACCAGTTCTGGGCCTGAATAACAAAATCTAGCAGAGATTCTGTTCACATTAGGCTTAGTCTAATTAACTTTTGCTGCTTTGTAGACGTAAATGGAAATTGTTTTCTGTGATACCAGCCTGTAGCTTTATGAGAAGCTTTGGCCTAAAGCTTCATTATGGGACAGTGGGAGGAATAGAAGGACTCTTAGAGCCACCTGGTGGCCATTCTGTTAACCGGGGCTGAAAGTAATGGCAGATTTCTGCAGCCAGGGCCAGTCTTTTGTGTAATGATCCTGTTTTTCTCGAGTCAACACAGACAAACCTTCTTGGCCTTAATCCACTTCATCACCATTGCACTTTCTCTTTGGTCCCTGGAAAGAACCAAAAATCCAGTGTCCCAGTGATCTTTTTCCTCGCTGACTGACTGGATTCAAGCTGCTTTTTACCTAGGAAAAGGAGAATTAACTTGCCCAGGAGCCTGGTGTTACTAGTGTCACAGGGAGGCCCCACATGTTATCTAAGACATCTTAATGTCCTGTACAACTTGCAAAACGCATGAGAGATATTTTAGGGCGTAGACTCGCATTCCAGTTTGGATGGCTGAGAACGAAAGGCGTGAGCACAAGGGCTGCTCTGGAGCGCTCCTCTTTGTTGCGTAGTGCTCGTAAGTAAAGGACTGGATTTCTGTTGATGTTTCTGGGGCCGTTTCCACGGGTTGTGTTTTGTGAATGCTCGACTGGCTGGCTCGTGGCACAAGTATACGCGCGGTCTGGTTATTAACGTCTCATTGAACCCTGTTCCAACCCCCTGTGCCCCTGCGGGAGGTGGAACAACAGTCACTTCAGGGCAGTTCTTTCACTCGGAGTAGGGGAAGGCAACTGATAAAAGGATGGCCTGCTGCTAAGTGCTCGCCTGCCCAGGCTAGTGGTGAAAGCGTTGGCTCTATGTACTTGTAGTATTAGATACAACATGCCAATTGAAAGAAGCTGTTGGAGCTCCAAGCGGCAGAGTCCCCTGTTGAAACGAGAGGTGAGCACTCGAATACAGCGGTAATGGGTGCTAGAGAAAATATGAAGGCAACGTCAGTTGGAGTCCCACAGGATCCCAATGGTGAGGTGAATCCCATGCCCTCTCTTATCGGTGCTGTCTCCTAACAGGAAACCCTGGTGGAAACGAGTGGGGATTGTGTCTCTGGTGGAAATGAGCAGGGGAGCAGGTTTCGTCCTTGGGACTTGTGCTACAGGCTGGTGTCTGCGCCCTGCTGTATTGTATGAATGTTATTCATAGACAGAAAATGTACGTGGGAACACTTCTAAAGAAGGAAAATTCTCACTCGCGCCGTCTCGCTCCTGCTTACGTGCTGTGCGTGCGTCTGAACGTAGGGAGAAAACACTGGACCAATCACTGTGGTGTGTGTGTGAATAGCCGTGTCCCCGTTGGCTTTCCCCAGCATGTGAAACGTGTCATGGATGCTGCTGCTGCTGCTGTAATACTTCCATCTGTCTGCTGCCGTAGGAGTGTTGAGAAAGGACTTGGTCATTGTGTACACCGCTCCGTGCCACTGCCGAGCACCCCATCTGGCCTAGCATAGAGACGAGTAGGAAACCTAAGTGACGGTGAGGACAGAGACCCAGAAGCCACCCTGGACAGACAGAGCTTCCCAGACGCTGCTGCAGGAGCTAGGGCCTGGACTCCAGGTCCTTCCTCCATCGCTTCCTGCCCTTTGTGTTGTAGGAAATACCAGGAAGCCACGTGCTTGCTGATTCCAGCACCTCATACCACCAGCTCCTCCAGGGTCAGGTGCTCTTCTGAGCTGGCTCTGTTCACTGCCACTTTGATCGTGGCCCCCGTGACCTGCAGTCACGCTTAGGCTTCTCTCTACCTTGAGAAGCCTTGCTGCAGATTAGGCAGGACCGTTTCCTAGCTTGTGCATCAGAAGCCTTTGTCTGGAGCAGGGCAGGTGTCGGTCTCATCGGTGGACAGAACCGGCAGCTTTGGGTTTTTTCATTCAAACAAGTTTTGTTCGCTGAAGCTTTGCCCTGGGCTCAGGAGTCCTTTGAATTGTGCATGAGACGGGGGCCCCTTACATAAATGCCTCCTTTCCCATTATCATCTGCGGTCAGTATGTGGTGGGCAAAGTGTCCTCCTAAAATTGAATGGCTAAAGGACCTAGAGTCCAGATTTACTAGCAGGATGTTTACAGGCCTTGAAAAATCTCATAACTAGTGATTTCCAGGTGCCCAGCATAAAAATGCTGGATGAAATCCTGCCCCACCAAAGTCAGTGGCACAACACCAAGAGGTGTCAAATGGGCAAGCGATTATTTACCCCCCGTTGTCAGGGAGTGCTCTGAATTCACACCTTCACAGTGGCAAATCAGGAACCTACGATTCTTAGTCCCTAGGAAGTTGTGGCCTGGTTCTGGGGGTAATGCGGATGTGATGCTGCATCACTCAGATGTTAGTTATAAAATGGTAGGTGTAAGCACAGTCACCCAACAAGCTTGTAGGTCCCTACATTGATGTTGCCATGTGACCTGTATTTTACCTGAACAGTGTTAACATGAAATGCTGAAACGGCAGCACCTCTAAGGTATGAATTGCTGCCTTTCTTGCCCACAGCATGGAGCTCCTTTCCGTTTCCTCGTATTAATGGGCTGTGTGAGACTGAAGTCATCAACAGGAAGGAACGTTAAGGAACTTCCCCTGCTAAGGGGGAGAAAGGCAGTCGTCTGCTTCACTTGTATTCCTCTAGATCAAGTCTGCTGTCGGGGACACTGACCTCCCTGACAAACTCCAAGAAAATACTGCTTTGAAGACTGGGAAATTGGTGACTCCCAGCACACCGGATGTAGCACTTCTTAGGAGCCGGTGCTGAGAACTCAGGAGTTTAGTCTCCATTTTGATTACACAGCCATCAACCGGGTTTCTGTTGGAATCCATTCAAGGTTTTATTAATTACATGCTATATATTGTCCATGCCCTTTACATCATCAGGGGTTAGTAAAAAAAAATACAAAAGCAAACAGAACTAAAGCCTTGCTCTTTTATCATTAGTAATAACAATGTCACCGCTAAACTCCTTGCAGAGGGTAGCTGGACCCTGGAACAGGCCCTGATCGTAGGAGTGTAACTAGATCACTGACTTGTGCAAGTTGGATTGACCGTGTGGAGGTGACGAGTCTTACGGCTCCAGTGTTGCTCTCATCCAGTTAGCCTGGGAGCAGCAGCTTGAAAAACCTACAATTCGTAGAAGGGAAATGAATACATCATGTAGCGATGCCATCGCCATGTACTCGTGGTCAGTCCTGCTGCCTGCTGGGAACATCTGACCTGGAATATACTGGGTGTTGGGGCCTCTGAAGCTTGAACTAAAGGATGCCCTTTAGCTGTCAGCACTAGACAGGGGCTGAACACAGGGGTCAGGATGGAGCAGGGCTTTCTCATTAGCCAGCTGCAAAGGTGTATATGCTTAATTTGAGCAGTGGGCACTACAGCGTGTTTGTTGAAGCCAAACATCCCCGTGCTGGGGTGCCGTTATATAGACAGGACAGTTTTCTGGACACAGAACTCCAGCGAGTAGAGCCCTGGCTGCTCCCGAAAGGACGTCTGGGGAGAGTCCGGGTTAAGTGTTGGTTTCTTTCCACAGACTTCTGTCCAGTCTGTTGTCTTCCTTCCCAATTAGTCTTCTCCTGTTACCCTGCTAACGCGGTCCTGCCTCTTGGCAGAAATGCTGTAGCGAGACCACCCTTCCCCTTTGCAGCAGTGGGTGGCTGTTTCCGAGTTGAGCCCGTGTGGTGCAGTGGAGGTCACTGGGTAGTAACTGTGCCCTTGGCATTTGAATCTCAGCTGCCAAGCACCTGGCCATGCAGCGGGGGATGGTGTTAATCAAGTCAGGACCAGTCCATTAGTACTAGAAATTCTTTGTACCCACAGCTTTTCACTAACAGCGGCGTAATTGTCACTTTGCAGAATATCTTTCTTAATGTCGAGTTAGTCATGGAGGCATAACCCACGGTAATCCGCTGCGACGGAGACATGGGTTACTCAAGAAAACTGGTCAGCTACTTAGAAAATGTTTTCGCTGTAAACCTGCCAGCTGAGGACTTGAAAAGCTGGAAAATACGTTCTGAATTGTTCTGTTACTGTCTTTTAGGCTCCGGGAGTTGATTTCTGGTCCCCAGTAGTTCTCTTTTCTTCCTGAATTTTAAGGCTCTAAAGAAAATTGTAGACTCAGTTACTGGAACACATGTAGGCTGGAATCCACTGCTTTTATAAATGAAGTAGGTTTTTATGAGGAGAGAATTTCAGACGGTTTGACAAGCCTCTCTTCCGGACTGAGACTCGGCATTAGTAGCAGCCTCAGCTGCGCTTGCTCAGGGTGGGAAACTGGGTATCCCTCCGTGTACGCAGGAGGGAAAGGGAGGCCTCTCCCCCGGCATTCCCATCCATGTTACGTTGTGGCCTGAGCACCGCGCTTCTCCTGTTCTCTCCTCCGTACGTGCGATTCCACTGGAACTGGACAAACTTATTTTAAAGTACACGAGAGGTTTTTGGGTTTGTTTTTTTTTAGTTAGACCTTTTTGTCAGAAGCCACATTAATGACCATGTTTTTATCTTTTCTACGTCAAGCTTCGCAGTAGCTCCCAATGTGTAATTTATTGTTTGTTTTTATAAAGTGCACCCTCCTGCTTCACGGCCGTAGCAATGTATGTACTGTTTTAGGCACCGCACTGCACTGCACTGCACTGAAGTTTGTACTGTCTGTACCTGGGGGAAAACTGTGATTTTTAGTCCACTCAGAATTCATGGATTGTTTATATTTTAGCTCTTAAATACACTGTATCTGTGCAAAACAGTCTCTTGGGATCCTCTGTTCTTTCGAGTGCCACTTCTATAGAATTGTGCGGCCGTAAAAATGTCTTTGGCGGGGAGGTTAGCCAAGGGCCGGTTTAGGAAATGGTGTCAAAGACTGCTCTAGGGAAATCCAAGCCGAAGGGCCTCTTGCAGGCCAGCAACCTCCCCTTGTCAAAGATCTTGAGTCTTGTATCATAGAGCCTGTTAGCCGCAGCCCGGACTGTCAGTCTGTACACAAATTAGGGTTTGCTGGGAGCTTCAAGACAGTTGCTCAAAGTACTTGGCTCAATAAGAGAATTTTATGTTCTTCAATAGCAGGTTGTGACTGAGCCACATCAAAGACTTCTCTGAGCTCTAGTGACCTCAACTAAAATGAAATGAAACATGCACTTAACTCACGTTACGTGCTGTATTTCCAAAAGTGCTTGGCTTGATTTTACAGTGGGAGTTATTGGAGGCTAAACACTTCTGAAAATCAAATTAGATGCCTCAGTGAAAGCTTGACCTCTTTGTCCTTAAAGTCAGAGCAAGATGGGAGTGTGCAAGTGTGCGTGGGTGGCTCTCGTTACCACGTCAGCATTTTCTCAGCCATTACTTACCTTCGAAGGTCCAGAGAAAGGTTTGAGACTTTCAGCCCCCGATGTGTACTGTCAGTAATGCTGACTGCTTAATGTCCCGAGCGCCCAAATGTCGGTGCTGTGCACGACCTTCATTCTCTGTCCCTTTAAAGCTTGTAGATGCTCAAGCTGAACATCAAGTGAGCAAGGCTTATATTTCAGCTGAAAACCAGAGTAAAAAGCAGCTTGGTTTGCTCATCTTAGAGTTTAAAAAGAGGTGTGCCAGGATGATTAAACTTGCCTCACCCGTGAGGAGGATGGTCATGGTCAGGCCGCTTATTTCTGTTCTGCTTCAAAGGGAAGGCAGCAGAACTGAGATCCTCTGGGGCTCTGCTTCGTGTATAGTCATTTTCACTGTCAGTTTCAATACCCCATGGCAAAAACTTGGAGAGGCCAAGCCCCGCCTCCCCTGCCCCCCCCCCAAACCCAGAACTGTATCTTGAAAAGCAAAAACAATCTAATTATTGCTAATTGAGTTTACGAACGTGTCAAAGGGAGAGAAGACAAAACAAAAGTAATCTATTTTAATATCCAAATCCATTTGGGATCATGACTCGCGAACACGGGACCTTCTGCTTACTGCTTACCAAGGAAAGGTGAGTGGTGTGTAGACCAAATTGCTACCCAGCCATAGTACTAAGGGAAAGGGGGGTTAAAACAAAGGGAAGCAAAAAGCATTTCTGAGGGCTGCAAGGCCTCCATCTCTTAAGTTTGAAAAAAATATAATTTTCAAACTGAATTACAAGAAAAATGGTCACGAGAAGGGGTTGACTTAAATACTTTTACTGAGTCAAGAAATTAAGACAGAAGTGCCTTTAGTTCGTCATTCACAAAGAAATGTCTGCATCGTGTAAGTGAAATCTTCGCCGATTGATAATACCTTCTCACTCAGGAATACGAAACAGAAAACTAAGAAAAGCAATAACTGGACCTAGTTAATATGGACAGATCTGTTCATGCACATTCATTTTATAATGTTCAACTTTTAAACACACGCATCTCACAATGCTGCAGTACATTTGCTGCTCCGGAGCAGATGAATATGAATAGACTGGCTGTAGCTTTTTGCTTTCATTTTATAGAGCGAGCACTTGTTAGGAGACGCATCAGGCCCTGTAGAGTCATCTGTTTAGCCACAGAACAAGCATGGGACCGGTGCCCGCACGGCCGTCTTCTCTGCTGCCTGGCTCTTTGTTCTTCCGCCTTACTGTTACGCGGCCAGATCCAGCGGAGGGATGAGCCCCTTCAGTCCATGATGGGCAGTGTCTGTTCCTGCGCTATTTGCTGCTACCTTCAGTGTTTTAAGTGATTATGTCATACAGGCCATTGCACAGCTGTAGACAACACTGCATTTTGACGACTGCTAACGTGGTCAGTTAAACTACTAGCAGCCCTCTGAATACCTGCCCCCCTCATTTTAAGTGCATGCATGTATTGTGAGCAACTGCCAGGAGACTGAGGAAAACAGCCACCCCCTCCCCCACCTCTTTGCAATAAGATTACGATTTCATTAGAAGTCCAACCGAGCGCCAGGAGAGGAAGGGCTCGCGCTACTTGAGGTGCTGGACCTCTATCGCAGCCATTAGCTGCAATGCAGGTTAACAGAGCCCTGAAATGAAAGCTGCTCCAGCAGTAGTAAGACAGAGGTGCCAGCAAATCCTGCTTCCTCTTGAGCCCACTTCAGAAGGCAGTTCGCAGCAGGAAACAACAAATACAAGCATGCACAGCACAAGGAAACCGAGCCGCCCAGACAGCGGAGGGTTCCTGTCGCTAAGTGGTCGTGAATTCCAGGCGTCTGTTCTACCCTCAGGTCACGCTTATTTTCAAATTGCTGGGAGCCGCCAACAAGGGAATAACGTGCTTGGTGGCACCCAGGGAGCCATCTGTAGCAGCCCTTTGTGGCTACATGCTCTGCCCTCATCCCTCCAGTCCTGAGGATGATAAAGTCCTGAACGGTACAGACAGCTCCTGCTGGATTGCACCTGCACAGACCTATCAGCAAGCTCTTGCATGCGACTGGCTTTAAGATTACTGTTCTACTTTCATGCTCAGCTCAACTGTTCTGCGAAGCAGTCGGTTCCCAGCTGCCACATGTACACATGTACACTGGACTCTTGCTCGGGTCTGGGCAGTTGCAGAAGCCCACAGAGCCTGCACAGGCTGGTCAGGGGCTGAAGCTCGTCATTCAAAAAGGTACATTCCTTGTTGGTATATGAGATGTTTAAATGGCCCGTGCTCAGGGTGTGAACATCTTGCATAGAGACGTGTGTTGAAAAGCGATAGAGAGCTGGCAGCGTGCAATTACAGTGCGTGGCTTCTGCACACACAAGTGAATGACTCTCAGCTGCCTGCGCAGAAAGCTGTAATAATTCTCATGTAGCAGACATACTATATCAACCCGACGTGCGTTCTTCCCTTGAAAATAACACTGCCCCTCACTTGTAGTGTCTCTTGTTGCCAGAGTCAAATAATCAGCCATTAGGCTGATTATCTCAGTAGCTTACACAGAATGAATAATAAATGGCTGTGTGTTATGGTGACATGGGAGAAAGGTAGATGTTTTATTATAGTATTTTAAAAAGTAGCGCATGAGCTTAATGAAACTAAATGGAGGTGGATTGCTGTGTACATCGACACAGGTGGGGCCTTGGCTGTACATCCCCACATTTTGCCCATTTTGATTTTTGTTGCACAATTAAAATATCATGAAGTTAAGGGAAACAGCCTGGACCTGCTAGAAATGCACCTCCCGTAAGGTGGTGAGCACCCAAACCAGCTGCAAGGCCATGGGAGAGCCAGGGTGCTCTGCACCTCTTGGGATTAGGGTGATCAAAGAGCTGTAGTAATCTGACGCTTCTGTCACGTGGCTGGTTGCCATGGCACGCCACGGAGAGGCTTTTTTTGTTCACTCACCCAGTACAGAAAGGAAACGTAACGGACACCACATCCCAATGCACATGTAACAGTGCAGAGGAGGGATCAGAGCAGAGAGGATTCAAAAGTGCATTTCCTAGTTTGAGGTCTGTCCTGGGGAAGAGCCCAGGCTTTGTTTGCTCTTTTCTGGGGAGAAAGTGCCCAAACTCTTTCCTTGCATCTTCGCAGGCTTTAGGCCTAAGTTTAGCGACCTGCCGAAATCTAGGAGGCAGGCAGCTGATTTTGTGGACTGACTGCAGGGCCGGCTACTACTGTCATGGGCTTATCAGGGCAGCCTCGCCCCCCCCCCCCCAAACATGCCCCTTGCTGCTGTTTGGTGGAGAGGGGTGAGGCCACATGATGGACACCCCTCTCAGCCAATGGGGGAGTGGGGGTGGCTGCCATCTTGCTTCCCATCGCAAAGGTGGCTTCCCCCTCTCCCAGTGGGCTGCAAGGCTAGGCCGCAAGGGCTGTGAAGACTGCTGCTGGCTCCCACTGGGAGCTGGCGTTTTAATTATTATTTTTTGTAGATTTTGCAGACAGTGCCTGATTTTTGCAGTTTCTATGAAATGACAAATTAAGTAGGTCCCTACCTATGGTTTGTTTTGTCACATTGCGCAGTTTCAGGGCCAGACAGCTTCCTATGGCAGGGGAGCCAATACTGTGTTCCTTATTCCAGTGCAGGCAAAGCGGTGCCGGAGTCCAGCACTGAACACCTGGTTTTCTCTCAAGTCCTTAGTATGACAATTCAAGATCTCTCTTGCTCATGTTATGGCGGCTGTAGGCTGTTTTTTCCCCAAAGTCTCAACTCTTCTCCCGTATCTGTAATACTGTTAGCCAGTAAGCCAGGCCTTGCAAGGTAGTTTCCATTAGGAGGAGTTGCTGATAGGATTGCAGCAAATAGGATTGCACCAAAATCCTGTTTCTCTGAAACAGCTGTAACAGACGGTGGCAATCGCCAAACCCACGTTCTCAGCAGACACTGTGCTTGCGAAGCCCTGCTCTCTGCTCCCCACCCCCAGGACAGCACTCGCTCCTGTTTCTCTTTACTAATGCAGACACGGCTTGCCAACGATCCTCTCTGTGTTTGTAACCAGTCCCAGGCAGTTCACCACCACTTGGGCTGTACCGTGCAGCCCAGTGCTCTGGGTTGCTATCATTGCATAAAAGGGGCATTTTGTTGCTCCTTCCTGTTAGCTTGAAATAAAGGTGCTTATTGCCCCCTTCAGCTTTAACCAGACCAGGGACTTGCAACAAATCAAATGCCTGCTTAATGACAGCCAGAAATACCTCCCCGCTTAATACTGCGTTCTCGGTTCAAGAGGGTGGTATACCTTCTCCACTGACCTGTTCACCTTGTGCAGTCTGTCCCTTAAATGCTAGGCATTTAGCACTTTTTAAAAAGAGCAGTTTCAGAGAGTTTCTGGACATGGTGCCATAACCTCAGATCTGACTGTGCCCTAACTTACACAAACTGTGGATTTTGATGAGGCTGCACTACGCAAGTCAAGTCGTTGCCTTCCATCTCTGTGTAACTTACAGTACAAGTAACCCTTGTTAGGAATAAAAGACCCTTAATAAATAACACAGCAGGAGTTGGCAGCCTACAGACTGAGGAGCCTTTTGATCCAGCCCTCAGACACGGGGCTTTAGTGGCATTTGACACTGGGGGGCTTCAGTAACAGTTGCTTTCTCCTGTGCCTGCTGTTGCTACTTTTTTTCCCCCACCAAAGGGAAGGCACACCCCTCCCCCCCCCACACCCCCCCATCTTGGACCATCTTGCTGGGTGGGAGGGTGTTGGGACCCACCCGCTACCACTGCTTTTCCCTCCTGCCAGCATGGAGAAAATACATGAACATCATCACTTTTCCCTGGCAGGTGCAGGAAAAGGCAGCAATGATGGGCACCTACCAACCCACCTCTGACCTGAGCTGGGTCAATCCAGCCCTGCAGCCTTAAAAGGTTGCTGGCCATTGGCCTATAATATTGGCCACACTTGCAAGTAACCAGAAGACAAGGTTGCTAGTAATTTCACGGGCATCAGGACTTCAATGTTTGTCTCTTAGGGCAAGGAGATCTGCTGTGATTTTTGCTTTCACCTACTTCAGAGTCTATCCGCAGCACCCGACCAATGGCACAAATAGGGACTGAAAAGCTGTTTCGGGGTCAGAAGCTTGGAAGACTTTTTACCCTGAGCATGCAGAAGGCAAGCTGTGCTAATACTTCCTGGTTACTCTTGTTCAGACCAGATAGACAGCACCCCCGTTATGTGTGGGCCACAGACATGCTGTCCACCTCCATGTACCAGAGGGAGATTTCACAGAGCCCAGACAGAGGCTTGCCTCCAATGAGGAGCAGAATATCGGGATGGCTGCTATTGGCTAGGTCCGTTGGGCTCACGGGCTGATGCTCAGTTCCTCTCCTTTTCTCAATAACCTCAGCAGCAACAAAATCTTTTTCTGAAGAGGTGAGGTGAGAAAGGTGCTTGTTTTTGGACGACATGCTCTCGGTTTTCTTTGCACAGAGTTCTGTATCTGCAGAGGTTTGAAACGCGCGCAAGCCCAGGGGCTCCAGAGGCTGGCTAAACGTTTTCATTTCAATCTCACTGACATCCTCGTTGCTGAAGGCTTTGTAAGCCGGCTGCTGGCGAAAGTACCTGCCAAAACAGGCCTGCTGCTTCGAGACGGGCAGCAGCTTCCGATGGTCTTTGTATTTTTCACTCCAGTGATTAATAGGGGATGCACAAGAGGCCTCTGGGGCCACCTGGAAACCGCTGCCAAGTCCAAGGATGCAGTGATACGTTTTAGAGGACAGGTTTACCTTTGCAGTGTGAGCCAGCTTGCTCCACGTCTGTGAACTGAAATGGTACTTCCACAGGCTGCTCTGAGGCCTGGAACTCGAAATCCCTCCGCCAAAAATCAGCATGGAGTCTCTAAAGACCACAGAGGAGTGTCCCACTACTTTTGGAGGTCCTTGGCTAAACACAAGGGAAGGCAGCAGTTAGGTCTTAGGAGGAGGAGACATTTATGCTAAGACATTTGCCCAGTTAAGGTACAAGAAGTGAAATGCTTCAGCTGACCCTGGATCATGCCAACTTTGTCCACCTAGGACAGGGGTGCCCAGTGTGCAGCACACGTGCCCCAAGTGCCATAGGCAGTCTCTGTGTGGTGCAAAGCAGATCAAGGAGGAGACAGGCAACTCAGGGGCAGAAAGCAGAGCAGCAGATCAAGCAGAGGAAGGGATCAGAGTGGCACTTGGGGAGGGTGTGAGGCTAACTGTGGCACACCTGCCAAAAGGTTGGCTCCCCGCTGACCCAGCTATGTCAAAACTTCATCTGCCGTACAGTGAAGCAGACTGCAGCCGCCTCATCTTTAACAGGGAAGAGTAGCTTGTAGTGATAAGGGATCTTGCAGTGCTCCATCTTGTTCCGCAAGACTTCTTCTGGGATCAAAATAGCAGCTCCCCTCATAAGGCCTGCAGTCTCTGTGCCTGGCCACTCCCTATTAAATATAAACTGCTCTACTGTCATCTGTTTTCTACCCGCTGCCAACTTCGAGATCTTGTCCAAACATCCCTAAGACAGGGATCAGTAGGCTGCATCCAGCCCATGGACCCATAGTAGCTCAAGGAATCCACAGCAGCGGAAGATGCATGCCCAGGGCCTTGGCCCCTGCCTTTTCTCTCTCTTCCCCTTGTAGCATCTGCTGATCACCAGGGACTTCAGCCCATGGCAGGGACTGGGTCGCAAGCAGTTGCCCCACAGTGGCAACAGTTTGCCAACCCCTGCCCTATGACATTACAAAGCTGTTCTTGCTCCTCTAAGAAGTGATTCTGTCCATGTGCTCTGTTCTTCAAGGCTTTTTTTTCCTTTAAAAGATTAAAATGCTCCCACTGTGGCAAATTTTCTGCTTGCCTGGAAACATCATCATAAGGTAATATTGACTCTTCTCATTAAAGAGAACTGAATGCAAAAAGTTTACCTTGTTCTAATACTGGACCAGTTTCTGCTTGTAAAGTCCCACTTCCATAGATCCTTCTGTTCACTCAGCCCCATCAGTCCTCCAAAGAGGTACATGCCTGTGCTATAAACCACAGCTGAGTGACCATGCCGAGGTCCAGGACCAGTGTCATGAGATAGGGCAGATATACATGACCACTCTCCTGTATCTGGAAGCAAAAGATAAAATTTAAGATTTTAAAAGTGCTGCTGGTAGCTGAAAATGGAGGCATTTAAAGAACAAGGCAGCATGTAGCTATGAAAACAGGTTTCTCTTATCAAAATCGTTTTACTAAATCATGATAGTAAAACACAATCCTATTTGGAGGTTTAGTATTAATTAAAGTGCCTGATGTGGAGCAGTGGACATGGGAGCTGTTTACATGCAGAGTAGATACTCACAAGCTGCCTCATGTCATCTACCTAGCGTGCCTCAGCTCTGACCTGGAAAGACCATTTTCCAGGGATGAGAAGGTACATCACTGAGAACCCCTTTGCCTTTTAAACTGGTTAGAAGATAGAAAGTAATTCTGTATTTATAGTGAATGGTGACACATGGGCACTCATTCAGGAGCTGGATGCCATTTAGGCTAGGTATTTAAGGAAATAATATATTAAGACAGGAATAACTCTTAGTGGGTAAGGCTATGTTTTTGGCACAGCGATTAGAAAGAAATTTCACAGCAGCGGTGCAGAAGAAAAGTAGGACTGATGAAGCTTCAACTACACCATACATAACAGCTAAATAATCTTACTGTAACAAGGAGCTAAGGGGGCTGGGGTGAACCGAGAGCAGCCTTGCCCTGGGTCAGGAACACCAGAGAAGCTGGGACAAGGCACAAGACAGGGCTGAGGGCCTGGAGTTAAGAGACAGAGATGGCTGAGGCTGAGAGTGCGCCCAAATCAGTGGGCCAGGGCTGGAAGCCTGAAGCCAGAGAAAAGGAGGACTAAAGCCAAAGGGCGCCTACAGACAAGCGTGCAGGCTGCTCCAATGTGCTCGAAACCACTCTAACTAAAGGGCCGCCCCTCCCCTGCCCAGGGCATGTGTAAAAGTGCCCCAGAGGGCTGATGTCTCTACAAAAAGACTGAACTGTGGACAGAGTAACATCTGCGAGGCAAGGGTGTGGCAAGAGGCCATGGACAGCCCATAAAGGCAACTGGTGCCCTGTAAGGCTACAGCAGTGTGTCCCAGAGAAGGTGGAGCCAGATTGTGCTCGCTCAGGCTCCCTTTTACACTAGAAAATAAATATATCAAGGCATGGCAGGAAAGGAAAAATGGAAGATACCCCAAGGAGCTGGCATAAATAGCAGGATTTGGGCCAATGGAGTGTCACAGCTGCCCCAGGAGGCCAGGACCTGCTACACTTATCAAGATCATTGCCTTGCTACATTATTCTTTTGGGACTGTAGTTTGGAGAGCTAATGTCCACCTTCATTTTTAGCTGAACTGCATCTCCCATGATCCAGTGAGGTCTTCTGTCTGATGGAGATGCAGAGTGAATCTTGTTAGTTACATGGCTGTGCAGGCATCATGGAAGGAGTAGGACGTTTATTTAAATATATGTAATTTTATTTAAAATACCTCTACTTCTATACCTCTATGGAAGTAGATGTATTTTATGCCTATTTGTAAGATTTCTGAGTTTCTTCCGATTCCTAATTTCTGTCACCACAGTGACAAAGTTTTAGCATATTAAGCACTGAGGCCTTGCTGTGAATAGTGCCACCAGTGACAGGCACTGATTCAGCTGAGCTATTGCAAACTTTTACTGTAGAGAGGCAAAGCCACTATTTGCACTGGCCCAATAAACTGCTACTTGGACCAGGGTAAGATATGCTAGGGCAATACCAGTTTCCCCAGGTTTGCATGGGTGCAGTTACACATGTTGGGGAACATTTCTACTGCTGCTGGGGCTACAGATTTGTAGGGATCCTGTTTAAAAACATGAAGAATCTGGGTCTGTAGTCAGCTAACCCCTGCACACTTCTAAAATCTCAACTCAAAGGAATGGCACTTCTCCATGCAGAGTCCTTCACAGTTATGTAAAGCTATTAACATTAACACTGACCTTGTGTAGGTTCTCTCTGCAGTTGGAATGGGCAGGAAAAAAAGTATTAAATTAGCAATGAAATAATGCCAAATATAGCCAAATCTTGGGCATTAGAAGGGATATAAGGCTAATCCATGTGACACTGAAGTCATGATGGAGACTGTCACTGAAGTCATAGGACACTGGAGCAGACACTAGAAGAATGACTTCTGCTTACCAAAACTTAAAGCCCAAAACTCTTGCGAAATTCCTTTGATGTCAAAGTATCCTCCATAGACGTACATGCTGGAACTGTACACTACTGCACTGTGGCCTTTCCTGTTAGCTGGAGCTGTGCTCTAAAACATTTCAGGAATAAAATAAGAATCGCTTTGACTGACTGCACCATTTATTTACTCTTTGTTAATGCATAGAAACTGTTGTTATAGATTGGATAACACCCCTTTCAAGACTGGGACTGCTAACACTTCATTAAAAACAAAAAGTGTTGAAACTGGAGTACCAACAACTTAGGCTTGTGTGGCACAAAGAGTTTCCTTGGACACTGATTGCTAGATGCTAAATGCTGGGGGTAGGACATTGATTAAATAAGGTGCTCAAACTGGGTGTTTGTGAGGGAACAAAAATATCACCGAAGCCCAGAGAAGGAAATACCAGTAGAATAAGCCCTGAGGGCAGGGAACAAAAGCAAAGCAAGGAAGCTTTGGGGCCAAGTGGCAATTGACAGAAACCTGAAATTGTGGACAAAGAAATTCTCCTGTTTGATTCCTCTTGTATTCGGGAAAACAGAACTTCATGTATTCTTTCCAAATGAATAGGAGCCATCAAATACCACTCTACCATCAACTTCTAGAAGAAATAACTTGTAGAGTCCCAAACATTGACTAACCACTCAGATAAGAAAAGAAATAGCAATAGTTAAAATATTTACATGAAACTCTTAGTAATTTGGTTCTGGGGAGTTTCTTGCTTTCAGTTTTTCTTGATCATGAATTTTATTAAATGAGACTTGCATACTTTCACTTGTACTGTACCCATTTTCACCTCAATGTCCTCATATGACTTCTTATAAGGAAGAAGTCACTGCTTACACTTTGAGGCTTTTATTAAAAATGAGACTGTTTGGTGACTACAGAAAAAAGCCCTGCAAAATCGGGGTTGTTGGTTGTAGCCGTGCTGGTCTAAGTACATAGGCAGGCAACATTCTTTAGGTAGATGTGGTATCTTTTATCAGACTGACTAAATAGTTGGGAAAAAGTTCTTTGCAAGCTTCTGGGCACAAACACCCTTTGTCGGGCATTGGGAGACTCTGCTGGTGTTGTGTTCTCCAAGCATATCTGAGCACTTTACGTTTTCACAGTCTTCCTTTTAACAGCATAAAGCCTCAGGTAAGCTGGCGACCCATAGCTATAACTGGTCACTTTGAGTCAAGTATTGCAGATCAGAAGAGGTACTTGCATTCTAAGATCCACATTGTAAAAATAGCTCAAGAGTTGGTCCTATTTCAGACAATGCAGAAAAATAAAGCTCTGTATTCCTACAGCCACCTCTTCCCGAAGAGTCTAGATTGGAACTGTATTGGGGAACATATTTCAAAGCAGTCTGTTTAATCAACAAAGCAACATGCATTGGATTCACACATTCCCATTTCCTGGCTCCTTACCTCAGTCTCTGCTTCTGTGTGCCGGCACTCGGTCCATCTTGCCGAATCTGGAGGAGTTGTTGTAACAAGGTGTAGTTTATATCTAAGACCACATGAGGATGCTGTTCTTTTCACAATTACCATTCTAATTGTTTTAAGTGTACTTTTTGGCTTATTTTTCTTGAGGCAGATTTCCCTTTCTGTGCTAAACTCTACCATAAATAGCATAAGTGAGCTACCACACAACATATTTTAGTGGCAGACCTGAATTAATAGTATGCCGTAATCTAGTCTTTCTCAAGGTTTCTTTAATGCAAAAGTAAGATCTATCCTTGTTTTCTGCTACTCGGGAAAGGGCATTTTAAGGCAGGTATAAATGTGTAAAAGGCTCCAGGGTGAAATAAAAAAGAAGCTAGAAGGTTTCACTCCTAGTCATCTGCTTAAGCCAGTAGATAGCATATGTATTATACAGAAATAATATTAAATAATATTTCATAGAACAGAATTATATAATTGTATGGGTCCAATGGAAAACACACAAAGTGTATAAGATTTGAAAATGTAAGTATTAGATGGTACATTCAACACCCCCCCTGCCTTGCCTTTATTAGACTTAAGGGTAAAATCACTCTAAATTATTTGACTTTTGAATATAGAATTTCTTAAAATTGTTTTGTTACTGTTCTTTTTTTTCCCCCTTCATTTTTCATTTTATCTTGTGTATTAACTTATCTAAAAGACCTGCTGATAATCTCTAGCCCAGGAGGGTTGCTGCACCAATATTTCCTGAAGCCAACTGAAGAGAATGAAAGTTGATTTTTCAGCGGTTACCAGCCTAAGCTCTACAGCAAACTCTGCTCCTGGTTTTGCGCCCAGAGCTCTGAGTGAAGCCAAAAGGAGGCGTGCCATGTGTGTGTATATACACATCAGAGGACACAATTGAGCCCTTATTTATTACTATCTATAACGTTACTACAGATTAAAGTGAGTCTGTCTCTTGGAAGAGAGTGACTAGCATGGTCCATACCGATGTCGTACATCCAGAGAGGGGCCTTCGTCTGTGTGAAAGCAGAATCCAACATCCCGCCAAAAATACAGAGCATTCCCTGCAAATACAATAATCATTTTTCACTTGCAGGCAGCCATGTGCAGCACAATCACCACATAAAAAAGGCAACAAACACCAATCACCACATAAAAAGCCCCTAAATATATGCATGATCCTACTTGTCAAAACCTATCAACTTACCTACAAAGCATTAATCAAGGAGAAAAATCTTAATCAAGTCTTCAGCCTCACCCCAAAGGAGACCATGATGCCGAGGCATCTTCAGGCAATGCACAGATTTATGTATAATTACAGGAGAAGAATTTCATCTAACTGAAGCTTATTAAAATCCAATCCTTTTGTCCCCTTACAAGCGAAACTACTATAATTCCTTTTTTTGAGTTAACTCATGTCTTTCTTTAATGTTAGATTTGCCTGTGAAGGTTTTTTTAATAATGAGGCTTTGCACCGTTACCTTCATTTGAGATCTATACTTGTAGCTTTCCAGGATGCATACAACATAGCTCAGAAGGAGGCACTAGTCGGCAAGTGTCACTATGTTCTTTGCTTTTCTTAGTTGAACGGTAATAAGAAAGGGAAGGAGATGCCACAAGTGACAAAGTTGGCCCGAGTACAGCACTTCATATCTATTTAGTCATTTTTCCAGAGGATTAAAAAACACTTTACAAACCACGTGTAGAAATGCCCCTGAAAGGCCGCGAGGTCTGTGATAATACAAAATAGCAGTTTAACAATGCATAGCAACACTGCACAACAGTTTATACCAACTGCACAGAAAGAAAAAAAGTCTTTTAGAACCTGAACTAATTTAAACTCACTTGATAAGCCACCATTGAATGTTCTTCCAGTTCTTCTGGGCCATCTCCTGAGCCATGCAGCATTTCCCATTCGTTGCTCTCTAGGAAACAAAGAACTAAAATAGATATGTGATTCCATGCAGAAATTAGGAATAGGTTGAGAATGACATGCTTTAAATATGCACGCTTCCAAAATAAATGCAAGATTAACATTAAGGTTCAAACATCTTTCCTTTCAATTGGGTGTGGAGGGGTAAAAAAAAAACAATAGACTTTCTGGTCTAGACAATCTAAATACACATTTATTCTCCATTTTATTTCTGTTTGCTTAGAAGAGCCAATTTATTCATCCTCAAAGATATCTGTACTTTTCCATTCAGCAACCTTAAATTTTATTCACCTTTTCTTTGGATACATTTGATATGAACTTGTTTCCTTTTTTTTAACATACGTGAAAGCCTGGTGCTACCCAGGAGTTACTCCAGCATAGCTCTGAGCTTTATGCTAGTTCTTGGGGAGCTAACACAAATATTGGGGTTTGGATTAACTGCATAAAAATAGTCTTTATTTTTTTTGTAGTGGAAGTGAGATTTCAAAATATATCAGAATACAATCTTACACACGTATTCGTGTTTTCTTATGCATATTTATTCATCCGTTCTAACTTCACACTAAAAATTTCTTTGCGGTAAAGTATAGAATATTACTATTAAGAAATGCATTATTTTTTATTTAAAATAACTAAGGGAAATTACAACTGAAACATACACCACTGCCCAAGCAGCTGCATGTATTTTGGAGGTTTTCACTTTCTTTCAAAGCATTAAGTGCTGCCAGTGATGAGTAGCAGAATACCAGCTTGGATGGAGATATAAGGCAAAATCTTTGTCAAGAGAGCCAGCTTGCTATTGAATGTCTTGGCTTTCACAATGATTCAGTGACTGCACACAGACATACGGTGGAGGGACGAGCTTACCAATGCTGTACCGCCAAAAGTCGCTAAGATTGGTGGTGTGCCGTCCTCCATGGAGATAAACAAATCCTTTGCAGATGCAGCAGGCATGTTTGTACCGATCACATGGAGAAGATTTGCTCTGTGGTATAGGTTTCCATACACATTCTGCAGTTTTTCCTTTCATCCTTATATCTAGGCTTTTGCCAAATCCATTCTGTCACCTGCAAAGGGTCAACTACAACATGCTAGGGGGGTTTCCAAAAACGTCAGGGATGCCGCCTCAACTTGGTAGAGTCTGTGGAAAAAGGGAGACCTTTGAAGTAGTAATGCGGGCCTATGGAATAAAAGAACCCTTTGTCTTTCCATCCCACTGAAAGCAATAGCAGTGCAACACAGCTACAACCAATACCTTTGGTTCACAGAAGTAACACTGATTATGACATTCACATGTGAGTTAGAGTATTAGATGCACTGACTCAAAATCTTAACAGCAGACAGGTTAAGATGGGAGTGAGAAGGGAAGTGAGAAGAGGCAGAGATTGCACTGAGTCTGTAAAAGTGGTAGAGTAAGGGCAGCCCAGGGACTGGTGCAAGGTCTGTTTTCACGAACAGCTTCAGGCAGTCTGCATCTAATACAAAGTTGGGAAGATGTCCATACAAAGATTTTTTTAAAATTGTGCATGCATAAATCACCTGGATTAAATTTCAGTTTATCACTACCAAAGGCACCTGAAACAGCACAGCTCAAGAGAAAGCTAAATTTTACTTTGACCGAATTTGCCACGAGATGTCACTGTATTCTCTGCAAAGATAGCAGACATCTACTTTGGGGAGGAAACCTCCACAATAATGTTTGGAGCATGACCATTGCCAAAGCCTGCTTATTTTCTGACAGCACAGAAAATTCCTTGCAGTCCTTGTAGCCGTACCCAGAGACATTCTGAAATTGGCTCTAACTGCACACACTTGGCAGTGACCAGAGCACAGAATAAAAGGAATGAAGGCAGAGGCAAAGGGCTGATATCTAAGGTTACAGATTAAAGCACTAGGCAAAGCACATTCAAAAAATCTCAAGTCAACAGCTACAGCTGTGCAAGCATGCGAAACAGCAAGTGCTCTAGGAACTGCCTGATCCGGGTCCAGTATGGAGTGACACTGTATTCATTTAAATATAAGACACACTTTTTAAAACAACGTTATTTCTTGTAAAAATGGTCTGCTTTTAATTCAAGTTAAAAAAAATAAACCTCATTTGCACCTTAGAGATTATATCCTTGTAAATGTATCTTAATTTTCTCCAAAAACAAATCGTCAAATGTGGGTGGGTCTTAAATTCAGGGACATTTTATATTCAAAGGCAGGCAGTACTCCCATAGGACTAGATGTGATATCCTGGCTCATGGAGTGCAGTTCTTTGCTGTCATAAACAAACATGTCATGTCATATCTTTCATAAATTGATTTAGTTAGGATTTGGCCTCCAGTACTCCTATTGGAAAGCTGCTTTGGATCCACTCTGCTTTGATATTCCAGCCTTAAATGTATTCACAGACAGTTTATTCTTGTGCTAACATTGCCCCTTATATTAACTCAGTAGAGATAAACCTTTTGGCCACCACTAAGCGGCGCCCACCTCCTTCCAGCCTGCAAGTCATATAAGTGGTACCTTATATGAGGTACCAGCGGGTTGGGCCTCAGCCGAGCCCATGTGCCTGGATCAGGCTTCATGTCACCCAGGTCCCACATGCTCTGATCCAGCCCCATATCACCCTGGCCGTGCATGCTCAAATCGGCCCGTGTGTGCAAGCCCTGCACCACCCCACCCCATGCTCTCAATCTAGCGTGCAGGGCCATGCTGTCCAGCCTGCCAGGATCCCTGAATCCAGAAATTTGACATCAGGGGAGTGGTAATGCTGCTGCTCCTTCAGTCAGATCTGCAGACCCCACAGGCAGGATGACACTGCTCCACCAGCCAGGCCTGGCCTGCAGGGGTGGGGGTTAGCACCCCTGGCTTAGCTAGAACTCTCTCCCTGCCGATTACCCTTCAACCTTTATTTTGCAAAGATAAGCACACCAAGGCCTTCTAGTTTCCTCTCAAAAGATGCCTTTTCATTCCCCTGGTCATCCTTGTGGCTCTTCTTTGCACCTATTTCAGCTTAAATTCCTCTTTCTTGTAGACAGGTGACCAGAAATGTGCACAGTATCCCATATAAGGCTTTACTGGTGTCATAAATACTTTATAGTGGCATGAATACTTCCTTATCTCTGCTGGAAATACATCAACCACCACATCCTAGGATTGCATTTGCCTTTTTCACAGCTGTATCGTGTTGGTGTCTTGCAGTGATCCTATCATCTACTAATATACTCAGATCCTCCTCCTCAGTTGCTTACAATACAGGATACCTCAAAGGGCAAAAAGTGGATGTGTCACTAACCTCCACTAACTGATGATCTAAAACTACCTGGAGCTAGCTAAGCAATGGGCCCCCACATCCTTTATTTTCTAAAACAAACTTTGAAGCAAAACCAAAAAGCCAACATTCACTTTCATTTATGCTAAACTTAAGAGGAGGTCGGTGGAAGAGAAAAGATGTCACTACAAAATAAGAAAGGGGTCTCTAGCAAAAGTAAGTCAGTGCTTAACCCTACACGAGACTTGTTCTCGTCTGTATTTTGTTATAATCCCAAGGCTGGAAAGCTGAGGAAAAGGGGGAAAGAACTCCTCTTCTCCCTCAGTGAAGAGCATTTCAGTATGAGCAAAGCCAAGGACTATGAGGTGTGTTTTGGAAAGTTTCATGCTTTTAGTCTAAGGACCTGGTGCTACCAAAAAATGGAACTGTGAGCCATTTGAGACACCCTGAGCTACTTTGGTATCTGATCAAAAAGAAAGAGCTGTGTCACTCATAGTGAAGTATGCTGGGAAAAAGGAGGAGTCGGGGGCCCTTGAAGTAAGGACTCCTCTACCTCATCTGTTGCAGAGAAGATGGTCACGATGATGGCTGGTTGAGTCATGACGATGTAGAGTTTATGCATGGTGCAGGTAGGGGTTGGGTAAAGCTCTCCTGTGTGGATAGTTTGGGGGGGGGGGTTAAGTTACTGATATGCTGTGGATATTTTTGAGTTTAATGTAACTTTGAGAAACTGACAGGTGGGGGTAGGATGCAATACATGAGATTTAAAATAGATTTAAAGAGCAATTCAGTTTCTGCTCTCTTGTCTTATTGCTGCTTTGGGGATGGAAGTATTCTGACGCTGACCTGTAGGTTGTGGACAGATGCTAGCTTGATGAAACGCTTTATCAGCTATAGTTTCATGGTTGGTAGGGTCGGAAGGGACCTAAGCAGATCATCAAGACCGACCCACTGCCATGGGCAAGAATGTTTCAATCAAGATGCAGAACTAAGTGCTTTACTCCTTCTGGTTGCTAAAATTATCTAAAAATAAGAACACGGGTGTTCTGGATGTATTACCACTATAATTAATTCTTGATGGTACCATTTCTAATCTAAAAATCATCCTTAAAATCTTAAATGACACTGGCTTGCTTTGTTTCTGTCCCAAGCTGTTGTACTTAATGTTGCTATGAAACTGTTACTGCATTTTACGTGTACTCTTATCTACAATGTGGAGATCTAATTCAAATATCCTAATCATCATCCACTCTAACAGTTAGAGAATGCTTCCCTGAGTGTGACTGACTATTTCAATTTAAATGAGAATTGATTTACTTTAAATGCTCATACCAAATGTGAACCATGTTTAAAGCAATTAACTCATCAGCCGGGGGCCTACAGACAAGGCAGCTCCATTGCTGCTGCTGCTCATTGCAGAGGAAAACCAGAAAGCCTGAGTACTTCTTACTGCACCTAGTCAGAAAACTGGTGACAAGCAAAACTGCAGGCTGGTAACTTTTTATGCTTGGCACAGCAAGTGGTGAGAGGCAGGTGGTAGTTGCACCTTTTTTTTTTTTTTGGTTTAAGATTAGTGAATTTAATTCTCTAGCTTGCATATACTGAGTAAAGACTAAGAAAACCATCTTAAGTGAAGCTTCTACTCCTGTGTAGCTTGAATAAGGTTAATGCAACACTGAAAAAATCCTAGTGGCTGAAATTTTGTAGAGGAAGATTGAGGCAAGCAGTTGTGCCTCATGGGTGCTATATCCAATATTCCTATATTCCGGGTACATAAGGAAACCCTTCCATCATCAAATAGTGTCGTAGTAAGCAACACCAAAATGGCAACAGCAAGTAAAATAAAAAATAACAAAGGGTAACCACCCACATCAAGCTTCCCATTACGTTGTTATACTGACACTTTTGGTTATCTCCCATTGAAAAGTTTCTTTTAGATTTCTCTTTACTTCCCCTAAACTTGCAATGTACTGTTTAAATATAGTGGGAATAAAATTTGTGAGGTCTAATCCAAGAATATGTTGCACTGAGAAACAAGAACCCTGTATTTTAACATCAGCATGAATAAGTGTCCATCTAGGGAAGACCATCAGGGTACCTAACAAGGTAAATAACCATGCAGTGTTGCATTCAGGTCTGATTAGAAGCCCTTTTCCAGGCAAAAGTGGGAATTAACTTTGATTGCTGAAGAGTTACACAATTTAACTTGCTCTGGTTCAGGATTGCAGTAAAATACACAGTGATAACTGGCTCTGATTAGGGGAGGCCTAATTTCTCAGCCCTTAACTTAGGCACTTTGCCATTCTCCTCACAGAATAATTTGAGTTGCTTACAATTCAACATGTAAAAAACCATAATTAGCAATACATAAGCCAATGAAGCTCTGATCAGTCAGGAGGGTTCACCACAGTAGTCACCAACCAGTGGATCTCAGAGCCCCTTGGAGTTGATCCAAGGCTGCGGTGGGGGGCTGAGTGCCCACATGCATGCACGCGTATGCCCCAGTCCAGCAGGTCAGTCCCAGCCCAGGGAGGGAAGGGGCAGGGGCTAGATCGATGTCCCTGCAGTGAGGAACAGAGCCGCAGAGGCAGGAGCACGGGTAAGTTGAGTAGGGCCCCGGCCAGGTGGGACTTACCTGATGGGGAGGCGTGCCCCCAAATAATTTTTTCTCCCTCTGCCTCAATCTGGCCCCCCCGCCCAACAGACTTGCCTGCTGGGTGGGGGTTGGCAGCAGTGCACAGTAGATCTTGGGTTGCTTTAAATGCTAAAGGTGATCTACTTAAAAAGGTTGGAGACCACTGGTTCGCCTTGGCTAGATCTGTCTGTAGGATAATAGCTATGAACTAAAACAAACTATAAAGTAGCGTGCAGCTCTGTCAAAA